TAGTCGGTCTGGAATAAACCTCTCTCAATGGGACAACAACATTTTCATCCAAGTCCGACACCACTAAACCGCTGGCCACGACGCTATCAACCTCCTCTGCCGTACCCATCGTAGTTAACTTCAACTTCAAATGCTTGCCTTTAACGCCAAGACGATCCAAAAGCATGTTAGAGCAGAAAGTGGAATTAGAACCCGTATCCAGGAGGGCGTAAGTCTCGATGCAAAAAGGACTTCCTTGTGCTCTGACCTTTACTGGTACGATTGGCAAAGCAGTCGCAGGACCCACTGTGGTCGTCAAATTGCAGACTCGCTCTACGCCACTTGACTTGTCACTTAATAAACTGTTCTGATTAACACCTTGCTGGGATCTGTTCTGATCTTCCTTCTCTCTGGCTCTAGCAGGTTGTTGACTCGCATTCTCAGATGTCAGCTGCTCGTGCTTATCTTCTGAAGAATCAGAGTGCATAGGCGAAGCATGTCTTCCGTTACAGTATGAACACGGCTTCTTCTTGTAGCATCCCCTTGATTGATGACCCCCTCTCAAACACGAGAAACAGAGCCTTTGCTTCATCACAAAGTCGTAACGCTCACGGACGGGAATTTTAGCAAACGCTGGACAGTCTACGAGATTATGAAACTGACGGCAAAACAAACAACTCCTTTTTGAGAGATCTTCAGACTTCTTCTCCTGAGACTTGTTTTGATCCATGGGACTCTTCTGAGATGAAGTAGAGAAGTTACTAAGCTCTCTAGGACCAGGCCCAAAACCCTCGGGTTTTGATTTCATCCCTCGTGTCTGGCTCTTCCTCTTATCCTTAGCCAAGAAGGGAAGTTTTCCGAAGATTGGATTACTTAGGGCACGTGACTTCTCCTCAACGAATGACGCAATGTCTTCGATACATACTTCTCTCTTGTCTGCATTGAGGATACGATCAGCATGGTCCCGCCAGCTACTCTGCAGTTTTGGTGGCAGTCTCTCGATAATCTTTCTCATATTGTCTGGACCTTCAATCTTGTTTAAGTATCCGATAGCCTTCAGTGTATTTGTGCAACTTGACAGAAGAATTGAGAAACCCTCCAGTGACTCGGTGTCCTCAGCTTTGATGTAGGGACCATTAGTTAGTTGGTGGACATAAGCCATCGCGATATTGTGCTTTTGGCCAAATCTAGCCTCCAACAGCTTCTTCACCTTAGAGTAGCCTTCTCCTGGGTTTAGGTACATACAACTCCGCACGATCTCCCGCGCTCTTCCACTCGTATGCTGCTCAAGATAGTAGTCTCCCACCGCTATCACTCTTGTTACTCTCGATTACAGTCTCAAAGGCACGCATAAAGGTGCAGTAGCTGAGTGGATTCCCGTCAAAGATAGGCACCTGTCTTCGGGGTAGGGTGTTTTTCTGCTGCTGATTCACAAACTCCTCCATGACACGATTCTGCTGTTCGAGGATGTGAAAGGCTTGGTCACTAAGGCCAGACTGCTCATCAGAGTCTGAACTGGACTGACTTGGAACCTTGTGTTTAGTCTTGTGTTCTTTAGGTCTGAAATGGGCACCATGGAAGACCGGAGATGATTCCTGCTTTAAATCTCCAGAAAAACCATCAGAAGTGGCCGCCGCGCGCGGATCCACGCGAGGAACGCGAGAGGTGAGCGAGGAAGACGCGACACGCATGTTCCTTTCTGAATCAGCTTTTGCATACGCGCTTTCCCTGGCCACTGCTTTCTTAAATTCCGTTTCAAGTTTTAATTGATCCCTTTTAAACTTGAGATCAAGTTCTTCCTTTTTGAGCCATAATTCAGATTCGTTAATAAGCTGACGCTGCTTTAGGGCGTTCACTTCGGCTTGAAGCTCTGCGATTCTCGCAGCTTCTTTTGCCCTTGCTACAGAAATGGAACTGGCTCGAGAAGATCGGCTGTACGCCGAACCGCAACCGGATCGTTTCCTGTTCCTTAACTGGAACGATGTCTGTGAGACACTGTCATCGGGAGTAACATCAAGGTCATGAATCCGGATCTCCGTTACACGCAACCAGTCGTTAACCGTTTGACAGAAGAAATTCAAACTCGACTCAATATCAGTGAAGTAAACTACTGATTCCTGTCTTTGGCTCTCATCGATTAGGGCAGCATTATACTCCTCGTGTGCGTCTGTAAATCTTTGAAAAAGGGAAGTAATCTCTGTCAGTTTCACCTTGACTGCTTCAAGATTGTTCTCATCCGTTAATAAGCTGTCAATTTCTTTACGCTTGGCCGTCAAGGCAGAAAGCACTCCGCCTCGTCTCTTTCTAAGTTCTCGGATTCTTTCCATTGTAACTGCTTCTTGATCCAGTGAAGAATTAGGCTTCCGCGAACGGGTACTTGAACGACGAACACTTTGACCATTTTTCCCGGCGGAACACGACAAATTGGCTTCCTGAACCACATGAGACATCGTCCGAAGTCCAACAACTATCGTCTTTACGAATATAGTTGCAGCCTTTATGCGCTATAGTTTTTAACACAAACTTTATTCTAGAACTTCTACAACTGGTGCAGGGAAACAAGTGAACCGATGTGAAGTATAACGAAGTATAGCGAAGTATACTGAAGTACAGCGGTAAAGATGATAGCGAGATAAGGACGAAAAAGTAGGACGAGCAAAACCCAAACATTAAACTGTAAACCGGACCAAGCGCAGCTAAACGAAGAACTGACGCGAAAAATTACAATAAAAGCTAAATATACGATATGCAGAAAAATCCTAACACGAAGGACAAAGCTACGCGAACAATGAAAAACTAATTAACCAAACAACCACACTAAAGGTGCGAACACCAAAATAACTAAGAATGCGGCGAACATAAAAATACTATAAAGGTAAAACATTCCTGGCGCTTACACTTTGTACACATTGTAAACAGATAAAGATGCAATTACAGCTGTCCCAATGAAAAAATGTACAACTGTACGTCTCTTTATAGATCATCAGTGTAGAAATATTCAACTCTGGAAACAATATTAATATAACATTTCCAGGTCAAATGCTCCTGGAATAAAATTTATATATTGTCACGAAGTGTTTTGCAACTTACTATTGCACTTGCCTCTACGATTTCATTTTAATTGAATTATTCCGTTCCAGTATTACAAAATGCTGAAACAGCATTCGAGGAGTTTTTCTCGTTTGTTGGGAGAACTTTGTTTTTTGTCATGGCTTCGGCAACGTTTCCCTCATGTAGTTTTTGTGGTTTATTACACGATGCCACACCCTGTGGTTTAAACAGCGATTATCCAGGCCAAGTTGAAGTTCTTGCTTTAAGAAATTGTACAAGGGACATATCGAGGCACTGCGAGCTGTATGGATTAAAAGCAGATACAGCACTTGACACTGAATGGAAACTGCTGTTAGCAAGAGCAGGTATATCTTAAGTACTGTCTTACCGTCTTACATAACTGCTAAAAGTGGTGTACATTTCCATCATCTCTTTAACACAGACCTCGATGGTCGTGTTATTCTAAGAAAATCTTCGGGTGCTTTCCATTCAGCCCAAAATTCCGGAAGTTTCGATTATAAATCAAATGGAACGGACCATTTCGGTTCGGCCCTACCAGAATGTTTGGGAACGTCTTTGAAGATGGTTCACTTTGACCAGTCCGGTTATTTCGGTCGGTCGAACTGAAATGTCCCCTTCCATTTGGCAAAATTATTGTCCGCAGTCCTTGCGTACCGCGCTCTTT